TGTTGTGTTTGGTTGGGTTAGGTTAGGTTAGGATAGGTTAGGTTAGGATAGGTTAGGTTAAGTTAGGTAAAAAGACTATATCTTTTAGTAATGTAAATATATTTTAATAAACTATATTTTAATAATGTATCTTTTAACAGTGCATCTTTTAATATTGTACATAAATTCATGTATTTCAACGGTGTTATTGGTTTATTCTCCTTTGAATACTCGTTGTGAAAGTTCTAGGAAGAGCCCGGGCTCTTTTCGCACCGTCCTGGGAGGGACCTTGGAGGTACGGGCGCTTTTCAAGCGTCTGCCTCAGTTTTTGGGCTCTTTTCATGTGCGCCCATCGAAACTGGACCCAGCTGTTCTAGATCATTGGGCTTTAAATTAACAGCTGGTCTTAGTCAGTAACAAAGCTACATAAGGCATCAAACTCCATTCTACACTCATCCATCAATCATATTTGGGTTTGAATAGGCTACATATCTAGGTGGCGTCCCCGTCTCAAATTATAATACATAATAATAAACAAAACATTGAGCAAGCACAAATGCAGACCATTGACTTGGGATGCTGCAAGTGAACCTTTTATCCTATTGAAAATGTCGAAGCCGGTTTTGATACTGAGCCAGAAATACAACTGGAGGCAGCACAGGACAGGGACAGTGACAGAATGAGTGAAATTGCTAGACGTTTGCTGTCATTTGTACCATAAGACATGACTGCCAAAGGAAGGTTCCACGGTGCCGCTAGACCGTGATTGGTGTTCGATTCGCTGCCGTCGTCGGCTCCTCGCTGTATGCTACCAGCATACAAGATGCGTGGAGTAAAAGAGGTGGGCCAGACAGAGCGGACTGCGCGCGATGACGTCACTGCAGTCCCGGCGGCGGCCGGCTCACCGCTAGAAACATGTTAAAACGCGCAAACTTGATCTATTTTGACACAACTAACACTGATATGGAGGGGGTATTTCACGTGGTAACACGAATGTCTTGTGTCTACGAAAAATACGCAAAATAACCATTTGTAGTCAAGCATTCAGTGCATTAGCAAACATCGAACAGTACAGTAGTTTGTGCAAGTGATTCAAGAAATTGTATTTAAATTCAGTTGAACTAACGTTGGGTGAATTTCAATCGATTTTTAAGTAAAATTAGTCACGTCATATATATATTTCATTTTAAAGTTTGTATTTTAGTGTTAAGAAGATTTTCATTCATTTTATATAAGTGCGTGTTTGTTCCTTATTGTGTTTATAATAATTTACTGTCTGAAGACGGAGATGAAAAATGCCAGGTATGCGTTGTGCTGTAGCTATATGCAAAAACAGTTATTTTAAAACTAAGACTCGATCCGATATAGTTTCATATTTTAGATTTCCTAAGAATGATAATATACGCTCTGTCTGGGTTGAACGTTGTAAAAGAAAGGATTCTTGGAATCCTGATACTTCTTATATTTGTTCAGAACATTTTAAACATGAAGACTTTGAAAGGGATTTAAAATCAGAACTATTGGGTTTGGGTAATGTAAAAAAAATTCTCAAGTCCGGGGCTGTGCCCTCCATAAACCTCTTACCTTCTGAAAACAGTATCAAAAGTGAAACGGAATGTTCTAAAAAACGGAAATTAAGACAAGTATCGCGGGAAAACAAACAGTTTGTGCAAGCTGCGTTGTCAAAAGTAGATGATATAAATGTAAATGACAACCCTACAACTACAGATCCTAAGACTGCTTTGATACCATCGACTATTAATTACGAAGAAGAGTATAAGAAATTAAGTAACGAGTTGGAAAAGATGAAAGAAGAATATGAATCAACAATATCAGCTTTAAGGCATGAAAATGCTCGACTGGTCGATGGAAAAAGTTCTAGCGTTAAAGAAGAAATTAAGAACATTCTTAAGGGAACCTTTTCTGATACCCAAATTAATATTTTATTTAATCGGAACAAAAAAGTTAAAGTGTGGTCTAATGAGGACATTACGAAAGCTTTTACCATTAGATACTATAGTAAGCAATGCTACATTTATATGAGAACTCAAATGAAAATTCCTCTCCCCTGTTTAAGCACATTAAAAAATTGGGCATCAAAATTGCATCTTAAACGGGGAATACTCCAAGGGGTTCTAAGTCTTATGAGGGTTGCTGCACAGCAAATGACAACTCTGGAGAAAATTGTAGTTCTACAGTATGACGAGATGAAAGTAAAATCACTGTATGAGTACGACCCGATTATTGATAGAGTTATAGGACCACATTCACAGATGCAAGTAGTAATGGCAAGAGGACTTTTTTCGTCGTGGAAACAGCCGATTTTCGTAGATTTTGATTTTTCTATGACAAAATCACTTATTGAAGAGATTATTACAAAGCTTTTTGAAATAGGATACACTGTAAGAGCAATCGTATCCGACTGCGGAGGTGGCAATGTTGGTATGTGGAGTGCATTTGAATTGACACTCAATAAAAGCTGGTTTTATTCTAACACTATAGGAAAAAAGGTATATTTCCTAGCAGACGTCCCCCACCTTTTAAAACTTGTTAGGAATTGGCTCATAGACGGTGGATTCACATTGCGAGATGGCTCCATTGTCTCACCAAGGCCTTTGAAGGAATTGATATCAAGAGTTAAAGACACCGAGATTTCGTCGTGCAACAAATTATCACCAAAACACGTGACGTGCGAAAAATTTGAGAGGCAAAATGTACTATTGGCTGCTCAACTTATGTCCCATACAACAGCCTGTGCACTTCGACGATATGACGTAGGAGATGAGAATGAACGACAAGCAACTGCAGATTTCATACAGGAAACTAATGACTGGTTTGATGTAATGAATAGCAGGACTCCCTTGTCTAGTGTCAATCTTAAATGTGGTTATGGTATGAAATTAGAAGAACAAAGAACTGTATTGGAAAAGTATATAGAAACTATAGAGAACATGAAGTGTATGAATAAAACGAAAATTCGATTGTTTCAAAAAGGTATACTCATGTCTACTAGGTCAGTAATTGAAATGTATGACGACTTGAAATGTAATGATAAAATAACGTATATTTTAACATCGAAGCTAAATCAAGATAGTTTGGAAAATCTTTTTTCCTTAATAAGAGGGGGTGGGGGAATGAATGATCACCCTACTCCAATAGAATGTTTGTATAGAATGCGCATGATTGTGTTAGGGAAGAACACGGGTACGGTTAGGAGTAACGTGAATACTGAGAACACGTCGGATGAATTCATAATTGGGAAAGTTTTAAGAGAAAGCTCTGTATCATGCAGCATTGACGAAGAGATAAAGGTACCCTTTGACTCCGAAGAGAATGAAAAAAGTGATGTGGATGAGAAGGAATCAGTTGAGTTGTTTAAGGATAGTTTGGAAGAGTGCGTATCGAAAGATGGACTTAACTATATTGCAGGATGGATAGCCAAAAAGTTCAGAAATAAGTATCCTAATCTTGGAAATTTTACCTACCAGTGCGAAAAAACGTCAACCTGGATTGGTGAGATATCCCTAGGGGGTTTAACAGAACCAACAGTCGATTTTATGGAGAAAGTTGAGATTTTAGAAGAGGAATTCCAAAAAAGTTGTAAATTGAAGATTTTAAAAGGCCCTAATGTGAAGAAACGCCTCATGAAGAAATTAAGTGACAAAGTTGACTGTTTCCCTCTAGATATTATCGAACTATTTGTACGAAGAAGAATAATAATGCGAATAAAGTTTTTAAACAGACAAAAAATAACGAATGACAAAGAAAAAAGAAAGAAAAAACTGAATAAGGTATGTCAGTAGAAAAATTGTAAATATCAGGAACTCTAATATCGTAATGTATTTATGAATAAGTACATGTCAAATGTTGAGTGATATATTAACTTGTAAATAAAGTTTATGTTTTATTAAACATGTTTTTATTTCATTCACGAATTATAAAGTTCTATTCCAATGACATTAATTTAATGAGTGTCACATTTAATAAATTACATGAATGACACATGATTTAATGAATGTGCATTGCCAAAAACTACTTGGATTTGATACATTTGTATAACAAAAAATGTTTGTTTGTTTTTATAACTTTAATGGTTTTAAATCTAAAGGGTATATAATTTATTTACTAATATAATACTCTTAAAGAACTGTACTTAGGTCTCTTCAAAATATATACATTATAAAATTGTATGCTATTTACATAAATTGAGTAAATCTATTTGTTGTGTTAAAAGAAACACAAACAAATGCAGAAATAAACAACAATTTTAATCATAGATTAATATAATATTTTAGGAGTGATCAAATAAAAAAATAATGGTATCCAAGCTGACTCAATTTTAACAATAGCGTGGTACAAAGTGGCATAAACAATACATAAACAGCATCTAAAGTGGTATGTGCCGAATGTGAGTAGTGGCTCGAGGACTGCAGTGACGTCACTGCCTCGGGCCGATAGGCGAGGGGGGTAGTGGGGTGCGCTCTGTCTGGCCCACCTCTTTTACTCCACGCATCTTGACCAGCATACACACTGCAGCGGTATGTATGTAAGGCAGTGCAACGGTAACAATTTGTATTGACTTTTATATAACAACTGCACAACTTGTATTGACGCCCTTTCAATCTTAAAAATTGCAAATAAAGTATTCTTGTATCTTGTATGCTCCGTAACTACACGGCACTCCAAGTGGTTTACGCCAGAAAATATGCTAAGCATATCACTGTTGTCGGTATATAATTAATTATTTTTGTCTATGATTGTTATGGGATTATGTGTTTTATCCATGGATAGATCCACATGGAAGTATTTTAATTGATGGTATTGTGATTACAAACTTATCACTACAGGATACAAATAGTAATAAGTTTGTATAGTGCGTAAGCAAAATATAAGGCTTAACCCTTTGGCTTTTGGTGTTGGACAGCCTGCCAGTCACATGTGTAAAAGATAGTGTTTTTGTTTTCACTGAATTAAAAAAATCTATAATCAGTCAGTCAGTCAGTGTCAGTGATCAGCAGTAGGCTAGGCTACAGTAAGAAGCACTGAACTGCACTAGCCAGTGAAAAGTCAATTCACCGTAAACAAGGATGGTTGTCAGAATTATAATTTTTAAATGGCCTAGGTCATTTTGATGTTTTGAGCAAATGTTTATTTGCAATCTAATTTAGTTTTCAACCATAAAAACATGCCTGTCATTACAATAGTATTTGGTTTATCGCTATGGTATGTAGCATAGGCTAGGCCTATTTATGAATTATCTGGCATTTACTTAGTTACCTAGTCTAATCATTTTCCGCACTAGCGCGAGCCTACTGCATGAATAGTGTTTAGAAGTAACTTATTTCTAGGCTTAAGTTAAAGTGCAATCCAATGTGAAATCACTCAGGGTTGAACCTTCTCAGACCAGCCAGACTCAAAATTAAAGCTAAATAATGTTTACTTGTTTTCATTCACTCTCTCAGTGAGGCTTTACCAGTTGTGTTTAAAGTTAAGCTATGCTCGCAATTTGAAACTGTACTAATATACGTAGTATTCTATTTATGAGCAATGACAGGCCTATGTCCTAAGGTAGTTTTAAAATAAAATCCTACTAGAAGTTATATACTCCTTTGATGAAGTAGGTTTCACCAGTAAAATAGCAGCCTAATCGTAGATATTTTCAGAGAAAACCAAATAATCGACTCCTTGATATAGGTAGTTAAAGTTAGGTACCGGTAATTAATTTGAGTATTCATAAAACATTGTTATCATTCATAAAATACCTTGTTGCAGATGTGAGTGTGAGGGGTTTCTTTTTGCGATGCGGAAGAACGCCTTTGCTACCCTATTTATTGTCTCTGTCATCTCGTACGCAACAGTTTACTACCTAAGCAGTCAAAGGCCCCAGCATCAGCATTTGGTAAGGCCACATGTCAAATAATTTAGGCTAACTTATTTATCGTTCACTGGACTACCTTACAATGTAACGATAATAGATTACATGTCAGATTGTACATAGGTATTTAAAATGAGTAAACTTAAGTTTAGTGCACATTTATATTACTATTTTGTGGATGAGAAGATGACAAGTTTATATTTTTAATTTAGTAAGTAATCACCATACATAATTGTCAATTAAAGAACAATGATAATTATAACTTTTAAAACAGCAAGTCTTATTTCCAATATTCCTACAACAGCTAGGCTAATAACCACACAGCCATTGTTATTGTATTATCATAACCATGACAATGGTCGAGATAGTAAATATTGATAAAAACCTAAAACCTGGTAAAAGCCACTCATGTTTATACAAATTCAACTACGGTATATACAACAATTATTTACATTTGTTTTATTTTGTGGCGTGTTTTGAAGCATAGGCTACATTTTTCATGAACAATTTTACTGTAATGGACAAAATGGAATGAGTTCCTAACACTTACCGTATGTTTCATAAAAAAGTACTGTCCTTTTTTCCAATTAACGTCTACAAATTTAATATAACGTTAGCCCATGCTTGTAAAATGTGCTGAATTTACGGTAGTGTACTAATGTTGAAGGTGTCAAAGTTTTGTGTAAAACCATTGGTCAATATTACTTTTTTATTAACTTTTGGGGCGGAGATCTCTATTTGAGGGATAGGTTAGTTTTCTTGATCAAAAAGCTTAATTTCCTTTATTATTGGCCTAACAGTTTAGGTCAAGGTGGAATCTGAATTAGACCTAATGAATAACATTATTTGTCAGAAAGCTATCTTTCTGACCTACGAAATTTATAATTTAGCCTGGTTATCATGCTTTGAGTAAAAATATTTTTCTTTGAACTATGCTGTGTGTGCAAACCTTGCATTTCAAAACGTTTATACATTTTGTGATAGTTTCATAGTACAAAATTCTAGCACCATAGCCTATATAAATTATACATTTGTTGCTAATTATATTTTAAATACTTAAAATGAAACATTTGCCAAGATTTAGTGTTGTGTGTTTTTGCAGATCACTTTTAAAAAAAAGTAAACAGAATAATTTATTTAAAAAAAAATTATAACATAGCCTACCGTACATGTTTTATTTATTTTAATCACATCTCAATGTATACTAGGCCTACTTTAAAAGGATATAATATTCAAATAAAATGTTAACCAAGCAGTAAATTATTTTCGTTTTGCATTACCCTTAAGTGGCGAACGGACTTACCAACTACCAAAATGATGTCATAAAAATGTCATTGTTCATCATTCTTTTTTTTAGGTTTTAAACTTGGATGAGGTAGATAAATTGGTTGACTTAGAGCGCAAGATTGAAGTAGAACAGAAAGCTCTTCAGTCACTTCTGGAGAGACTTAAAACTTCTATTCAGACACAATGTGAGTAAATACAATAAAATACTTAGTTTGCAATTGTTGAATTTTTCAATACAATGCTGTATAGAGCATCTAGTGTGATGTTTGAACAGGACCAATCAAAGACAAATAGTAAACATAAACAGAAAACAGTTTATGTAAATGTTTACTTACCTTCTGACGGTTGAGCAAACATATTGTAAATCACCTGTTCTTTCAGGAATTGGTTGCCGTTGTTTTCCTTGTGGAAAAGTATAAATAATTCATAGTAGCTTCAGAGCATATCTGTTTAAAAAACCTTCAATATCGTATTAAAGTTTTAATAGCTTATTTGAGTTATATTATTTTCAAAAATCTGTAGAAAAACAATATTTTATGTGTGTACTCTTTTTAAAATTATTTTTTAGCCAGCCTATGGTAAAAAACTTCATGGTTGTAAATAGGCAGAAGTAGATAGGCTATAGTTAAAATTCTTATTCACAAACAGTTGCTTATTTTAGTAGCATATTTAAAAAAATACATTAGTAATCCAAGACAATAATACTAACAGATTTGATTAAAAATATCTTACTTTTGTGTAATAAGTCTTTTGATACCAATATCATTTAGTATTTTGTATCAATAATTCAGGCCTAATAAAGTAGTTATCTATGGTTATGGGATTTAAACATTTATAATTAGATTTATACAACATATAACCATTCACCTAATCCTTAAAACTTAACTAAATCAAATTTTATTTGCAAACTGAAACAGACATTGAGCCAAAACACTTATTACAAAATTCATAAACTTTTAAAGATAGCCTAAATGTTAAAGCCTTTCACTTGCAGAATGTAGCTTAAGAAATCTATAGAACAACTAAGTACCAGTTTAGTAATTACTATATCAGGCGTTTCTACCATAAAGCTTTGTACTTGTCTATTGTTTAAAGATCTTAATCTGGATCACAATGACTAATATAAAGTGTTGTTAATTTTCTTTAAAGTCAAACAAACTACATTATATTATTAGGTACTTTTAAATACATATGCATGAATTACCTACATGAATGAAATTAAGTTTATAGCCTATATCAATGTTTTAATTAATTAACTTTGTCTCCAACATCTTTCAGGGGAGGACAAAAAGTTAATCGAAGAAAAGAAAAAAGTGTTTGAAGAACTGTCCATAGAAGCAGATGAACTTTATAAGAGAAGGGTATGTTATATAACAGTTTTTGGTTGATTTAAAATAGTCATGTTTGTTATTTTCTTATAAATCTAGAGTGAGCATATGACATTCAAAAATTCCAACCCTCTTTTTATTAATAATAAGACTTCTCTTTCCACTCCACAATCCTGGTTTCTCGAGTTTAAATTTGTAATTTTTTAAGTCTCCTACCTTTATTGTCAACTTGGTTTTGGATGTGTTCTTATTTTACATCTAGCATATTAGAGTATAAGCATTTTTATTCAATCTGTGTTCAGTACCAGTGATCGATATGCAGGGTAACGCGGGGGAACGGAGTTCCCATACCTCTCTTTCAGAAAAATAAAAATACTGCCATAAATAGGTACTAATCACATTAAATAGGTTTCAGTTCCGGCACCTTATTTTTTACAAATCGAACACTGTTCAGTACCTCATTCAAATGCATGACAAATCACATTAAATTATAGATTATTTGATAGTCTGCAGAGCATACAAAAATTTATATATAGGGGCTGGCTTTAATTTTGATATTCTGGAAACTTTCAGCCACCCACGGCAAAAGTTACAGTTCATTTTTATTTTGAAGCAATATGATTTCAAAATGAATTTTTCCTCTCTAACAAGAACTGCTCAGTCCACAAAATCTTGCATTGATAATATTTAATCACAGAAAATTGATTATCATCAGTTATTATGAGACGTAGGAATTGGCTAACTCAGGAGCTCGCTAACTCGGTCGTGTGTCGGAACTGGCTAACTCTGGAACTGGCTAACCGTCTCAATCAGGAATTGGCTAACTCCGGAACCCGCTAACTCGATTTTGTCTCGCGGCGGAATTCGCTAACTCTGGAAGTCGCTAACCCAGCCGCGCCCACTGCATGGAGCGTTGCCAACCTTGCACGACAAAATAATCGTACATTACCGTATTTCAAAATATCAGTGTCAATGAAGATACAGTAAATGTAATTGTTTTTGTTATCAATTTCACTTTTAACAGATAACTAGCACAAAGTAATTCAAAGACAATTATTAAAAAATCATGAAAAGTGTTTTTTTTTATTTAACTCTACAATGGCCAGTTAAATGTTTATGATTTCGATCTTAAATATAAATGCCATAAGTATAAAAGAAAATAATAGAGTTGAAAAATATTGAAAAGGTACTAAATAATTAAACCTCTACGAAATTAAGCTAAAATACACGATAGTTCTCAAACACGGAAAACAAATTTAATCGTAATGTCATCAAACATCAACCATCAGTCATCAACCATCGTAACTTTCATAACTAATTATAGATTTAAAATTAAATGTTCGTCGTTGAATCGTCCAACTTACGTGTAAAAATATGACATTAGACTAAGCTTTTATCTAGGCCTAATAGTTTAAGCCAAAGCATTGTAGGCCTACTAGTAAATAGTTGCCTTATTCTAAAATGTGTTGAATTTTTTAGTAATAATGTTACATGTTTTAAAACAGTTTTTAGATTGTACACCTAAGCACCACTAGTAAATAAAAGGAGAAGATATAATACTCATATAACAAAACGTGACAGGGTAATTTAAATTCACGATTCTTAATCAACGAATTGACGGATTTTCTTAGTTGGGTTTCCTTTACATTGGTTTTACAATCGAAATAAACTATACCAAGCCATTGCTCGGTTCACCGTTCCCCGGTACTGAGCTACTCAATAGACAATAGCTTTGTTTTTGGATAAGATCAAGTAATTTTAGGTATGGCCACCATTCATAAGAATTGTAACAAACAAGAACGCCTGGGTCGATTTAGAACCAGCCTGGAGAAAAACTCCAGACTTTTAAAAAGTAGGCCTACTGAAAGACGTAAAATTAATATTAATTAAACAAAATTAAGAGGATGACCCTGGTTCTACACTAATAGCCTACGATAAAAGAAATTTACAAGTTGTATTTATGCATAGACTAATTTTTAATGCAATCTATGAATAAATTAGGCCTACAACTTTATAATATTGTATTGATAAATATGTATTTAAATTCAATAGCTCTATTTAAAAATACATTACCATTACAACGTATTTCTGGACTGACGTTTAACGTGTAAATTTTATCATGATTTATGATTCAAGGTTACAAGCCCAGTATATAAAATACGAACTCAATAATTTATTTGCAGAAGTTCAAAAATTTTTATTTATTCGAATAAAAGAAACAAATGGCGAACTACGAAAATAGATATTTCATAACATGAAAAAGATCCAAATTAAATGTACATTTTTATCTTTTTGCATACCATAAAGCTACTATTTAAGTAAGAAGCCCAAATATAAAACATACTCCCTTATATTATATTTCTAATCCTTATGGATCAGCTGAAAACAGTTTTATTGTTAGTTCTGTCCGGTGCACTGTCTTTAGAGGTCGTGTTTTGTTTACAATTGTTTCTTGTTTCCAGTAATTTAAAACCTCGTTTAACCAAATAAAACGTTCTAATCACAACTAATACACGTCCCCTAGTTATATAACCAAACAGTAAAAAGCAAATGATGAAGTTAACTATAGAAATAATAGAAACACAATTTTGTTGACATTAGCGATCAGTGTCACCGGACATGAACTAGACGCGAAAAACGAGCTTCAAAGTTTACAATGGGATATAAAGTTTACTTGTGTTGGTTAGTCTATGGTAAGACTATAATGCATTTTCCACCCTAATAATCATGAGAATAATGTTAAACATACTTCTCAATATATTTATTTGATCAACTACGTTGCTCTTACTCCTAATTAATCGTAGGATACGACATTATGGTACCGATACTATATAGGTACTACACTTTCGGTAACACTGGCCGAAAATATTCGTGCTTGGCTCCCATTGGACGGCCCGCGAGGCTTCTGATTGGGAGTTAGCGAGTTCCGCCGAGGGACCGAGTTAGCGACTTCCGTACGAGGACGGAATTCGCTAACCCGGCTCTAGAGCGGGTTAGCGGGTTCCGGAGTTAGCCAATTCCGAAACCGAACAAGTTAGCGAGTTCCTCTCATCGACCAAATTTGAAGATAGGGCTTTTAACATGGGGTTAGCGAGTTCCAGAGTTAGCCAATTCCGCGGACCCGTTATTATCAATAACAATGAATTTAGAATCAGGCATCTCTGATAATTTTGAGCATTATTTTTAAAAATAAAGTAAAATTGATGAAAATATAATAAAAGGTAAAAAGTGTAAACAACATTTTTTCCAAAAGAAGATACAACAAAATTTATAAATGATGTAAAAGAAACCTCCTGGAATGTATCTGTAAATAATTCTTTTGATAATAACTGTTTTTTTAGAACTTTTTCAAAATTTATTTGAAGAAACATTTCCTAGATGTGGTACCAAACCTTATAATAATAACAAGTCTAGGGTAACAAGAGGTAGGCCTATTCAAATTTCTAGTATTAGAAAAAGAGAACCAAGCAGACTTGTAAAGAAATCTAATGACAGAAATTTCATTAATTATTTTAAAAGGTATAAATTAACTTTCAACAAGGTATGCAATCAAGAAAAAAAAAATGTATAATGCTATATTTATAAAAGGATCAGATAACAAGAGTAAGGCTGTTTGGTCTATCATTAAATTTAATCTGAACTCGGTTGTAAAAAGACTTAAACTCTCCTGATGTTGTTCAAAGGTTTATTGCAGACATTTTCCATCACGATTGTAAAAAACAATACACAACGTTTCGGGATTTCAAAGGTTTATTGCAGACATTTTCCATCACGATTGTAAAAAACAATACACAACGTTTCGGGATCTGGAATCTGATCCCGTCCTCAGGTGAAAAAACTTAACTAACACATTACAACTAACAATACACAAACACCCAATCTAAGTTGGAATAAACTACAGAGGGTAGCAGTCAAAAAATACTTTTTTAGGTTGGGTGTTTGTGTATTGTTAGTTGTAATGACACCATCACCAACAATGAACTTCAAACAAAGGAATTTCCTGGTATTAGGGTTAACGAAAATCATCTCAAAAGTGGCAAGGAAATTTCTGAATTCTTTAATAACAAATTTATAAATATCACAATAGAAATTGGCCTAATACCTCATGAAGAGAATGCACTAAAATTGTCAAGGTATACAGTAGCAGGACACCAACCTAATCCATTTGAATTCAGTTTTGTATTGTATAGAAGGAGTTATTAATAATATCAAATCCCTCAAAAGTAAAAAAATCTGCTGACTGGGACTGTATTCCTATCGTTCTGATGAAAACCGTCTCTAATTTTATAGCTGAACCTTTATTTATAAATATAAACCAATCTTTTCATAATAAACACTTTTCCCTAACATTTAAAATATGCAGAGCTCAAACCTCTCTTCAAGAAGGGTGAGATACAAAATCCGGACAATTATTGGCCCGTTTCCCTTCCACAATCATTTTCAAAAGGGTTTGACAAACTAGCAGCCAAACAAATCTCAAGTTTTCTTGAGTATATGACATTTTGGCTAATGAACAATTTGGTTTTAAAAAGGGTTTACTTTAAGCACAATGAAAGCTTTATCAGATTTTATTAGTGAGGTTTCATGGGCTTTGGATGGGTCACAGAGCACAATGGGGGTGTTTTGTGACCTATTCAAGCCTAGTTGGTTGACTGTTCCAACCATGATATTCTTTTTAAAAAGCTTGATATAAAGACTAATATAAAGACTTGATACTTAACAAATTGTTTTCAAAGAACAGTAATTTAAAAAAATAATGAACAATTAATATCAGAATGGTAAAAGATTACAGTTGGTGTTCCTCAAGGCTCGATTCTTGGACCTTTACACTTGATATTGTATATAAATGACTTGCCTAAAAATGTCTAACAACCTTATTTTATATGCCGACGATACAACTGCAGTTGTCAAATCTAAAAATAATTCAGAATTGTCGCTCAAAGTTAAACAAGCACTATCGGAACTAGAACAGTGGTTCAACATTAACGGTCTAAAAATGAATCAAGATAAAACCCAATTGGTAAAGCTTTGTACTGTTCAGGCAAGAGAGTTTAGAGACCAAAATTTAGCTGGATTGAAAATTTCTCAGTTTGTACTTAGATTCAAATTTAAATTGGAACAAGAACATTGAAAATTAAATTAGTAGACTTAATTTGGCATGTTATCAAATGATATGTTTAAGAAACACAATTGACCTAAAAGCCCATTTGATGTTATATTATGCATACTTCTATTCAATTCTTCAATATGGAATTGAATTCTGGGGCTTTGCATCAAACATTAATTTAATTTTTAAGATTCAGAAATTTTTTTAAAGAATGATGACATTTGCACCATGGAGAACATCCTGGAAAGCAGCCTTGCTAATTTTATTTTAGAAAACCCTAGTATAGATGAGTTCTTAACTGGTCAGGATATGCAATAGCCTAATGAACTTGTTTTTAAGTATAATTTTTTAAATAAATCCATTTGTTTAAAGCACTTTTATATATTTTATAGTTTTGGTTTATTTTATTCTTACATAACTATTTAGTCATAAAGGTATTTGTTTGTATATTGACAATGTCACCTGTTTTATAGCATTGCTATATTTTGTAAACGTTATGTGACAGTTAAGAAAGATTCTTTTATAATTCCAGAGTTTCAATCAAAACCATAGTATGAAAGTCTGATTTCTGTAGATGTGTATTAATTAATCAGTTGTTAGTGTCAAACGATGACATGATTAAAAAGTTAGTACCAAAACAGAGTCATTTTCTTTTAACAACTCGCACGGTTTACATTGTTTAGTAGCCACTGAAACATGTTTCAAAATGCCATCACAAACACTAATGAACAATATTGTCAGTCCCACTTTCACTAAGTTGATAGCGTACATTTCAGGGATGGGCCAGCCTATTAGTGTGATAAAGACAATACTCAAGATAATGACTTATGATGAAAAACTAAGACATTCAATTCTATTTACATCCAATATTAAATATTTATTATGTAATTCATACAGTTAGTGTGTTCTTTAGTTTTTGTTTAGTTTTGTTTGGTATTAATGAACTGAAACTACAATTTATAAAAAAATAAAACTCATTTTTGGAAAGTGGAAATTTTATCCATAGAATTAAATACCTAGTTGCTAAAATAATGTTTTAAAACTGTTGTGATTTGTCCTTTTAGCGAATTTCCCTATAGGGAAGTAGCTATTACCGTAGGTGGCACGGTAAGACCTAGACCCGGGACCGATTTACTTTTTCATTTTGATGTCCCCAGAGGCCAAAAACACCATTTGTTCAAATTTTTATATATGTATATATATATATATAGACTTATATATATATATATATATATATACGTCCGTGAACGCGATAACTTGAGTAATTTTTGTCCGATTTTGATGAAATTTAGTTTAAAGGTGTAAAGCGGGATAAACTTGAATGAGTTCGCGAACCAGCACGATCGGACCATGGGAACGGGGCTTTACAAGGGGTTTTATGGGGTAAAAATTGGTTTTTCTCACTTTTGACCCTCAAAACACAAAATTTCCCGATTTCTCTTTAGACCTTTTTAAAGAGCTTAAAAAAACAAATAATTTAGTATGTAAAAGTATTTTTGTTCGATTGTTAGTAACGGAGAAAATTAAAAAAATTTTAAATTTAAAATTCCCATGTTATTCTTATGGAGAATATTGTCAAATGTTGTAGTTTGCTTGTTTATGGATATATTTTGATCAAACTTGGCAAATTTATTTATTTTGTACTAAGCTATCAATATTTTACTCAAAAACACACTTTATTAGTTTCCTTGTAGCAGCAAACCTAGGTACTCGTTAAACCTAATGTTATTAAAATATATTTAACTGAAAATCAATTCAGACAAATGGAAATTCGCTTAGTCGGCAGGTTTGCTGCGGCGGGGGTATTTTATTTTATTTTTGTTTTAAATGAAGTGAATAATTTTTGGTCCCATTCATGAAGGTTAAGTCTTTGTTCAGTGATCACTTCAGTTTTGTTCCTGGTAATTTAGGGAAGTGTTAGAAACATTAAAGTACCTCTTACCTCTACTGTTCTCTTCTATTGGCCACGAATCCCACAATGAAACCCCTAACTCTCTTAGGCAAACAAAAAAAAAAAGTTAAAGGTCAACACTCCTAGGGTAAACTTCTTCTACAGTTCTAGGATAAAATTCATCATTGAAATAACCTCTCCATTAATTTGAAATGGTCCAGAATTTTTGTGACCGTGGAACTACTATAATCTTTGATTTCTTTGTTTGCAGACAGAGGAATTGTTGCAACATCCTCCACAAGCCATTGCAGTGTTGGTGCTAGCTTGCAACCGTGTAACTGTCACTCGTTGTTTGGACCAGTTGCTGAAATACCAGCCTGATCCAGCTTTCTTCCCAATCATTGTCAGTCAGGATTGCAGTCATGAACCTACAGCAGATGCCATTCGAGGTTATGGAGACCGTCTTTACCACATTCAGGTAAGGTTTGGTTTTCTATTTATCACAAACATATAATGAAAACAGCATTTAGCTTCTACAGTATACCCTCCCTTATTAACCGACCTTGGATCAATCACTGCTGAGATTAACTGCCTCTGGTTGGTACTGGTTGATCTTGACCAATATTCTTCATTCCACCATCATCGGAAATTTTGATTCCATGGTGATGACTTGCAGTTTCAATTTCAGGTTCATTTCCAGTTTACTTCTGTGCAACTTCGGTTAAACTTCAGCTTCACTCCGTTCCAAAATCATTGGTCCATTTCAATTTCGTTTTTCACTCAGTTCCCGTCCAGGTTTTTTTGGCAGATTCACTGGTTCCTGAATTTTGTCTTTGTTTACATCCACCAATGGCTTATCACCCTATTTCAATAGTGCCAATCTTTTCCAAAAATTTTTAATGTCTCATGTATAAACAAATGAATGAGTATTTTGAAAATAACAATTTATTGACAAATTCACAGTTTGGATTTCGAGAGGGTAAATCAACAACTGCAGCTGTCTTAGAAGTAATTAATAAATCTTTAAATGCATTTGAAAATAAAGAAACTGTTTCATTAACTTTATTTGATCTTACAAAAGCTTTTGACTCTGTACCTTTTGATATTTTATTCAAAAAACTTGAATTTTATGGTATTACAGGTGAAACTTTAAACATTTTAAAATCCTATTTAACTAATAGAAAGCAGTATGTATCTGTTGGAGGCAGTCAGTCTAACTTAAGATTGGTTGAAGTAGGTGTTCCACAGGGCTCGGTTTTGGGACCCTTCTTGTTTTTAATCTCGATAAATGACCTGCCGAGGAATGTTGATGTAGACACTGTTGTATATGCTGATGACACAACTTTGATTGCAACAAATAGAGATATCCATGAGCTTGATTTAATTACTAATGAATCAATAACATCAGCACTTAATTGGTTTTCTTCAAATAAATTGACGTGTAATAAAGAAAAAACACAGAAAATTCTTTTGAGTCTATCCCCACTTGACAATGAATTAAAATCTGTAAAATTATTAGGATTCCAAATTGATTCAAAATTAAATTGGCAAGAGCACATAGAAATCACTTGTAAAAAAATTTCCAGAGTAAATTATCTAATTTAGAAACTCAGAGATTTTGTTAGTAATGAATACCTTCGAATTACTTATTTTGGTTTTTTTTCAATCTCATATTTCTTACAGGATCATACTATGGGGACACTCCCCCCACACCCATGAAATTCTTTTATTACAAAAAAAAAGTTATACGAACAACCTGTGGGGCTGGCCCTGTAGCTGTCGACTTCTTTTTATAGACCTTAAAATTATGACCGTTGTAAATTCGTATATTTTTCACATACTCCTCTACACTAAAGCCAATCTTCATCAATTCACTTGTAGAGAGAGTATACACTCTTACAATACAAGAGGCAAATCCAATCTAGATATCCCTGCCCATAGATTGGCCAAAACAGATAACTGCCATAAAATAAATTGCATACGGTTTTTTAATAAATTAGGTCTAGCAGCAAAACAGGTTCCTTTTAATAGGTTTAAGTCTAAAATGTTTGAGTGGCTCATCTAAAATCCATATTACTGTATAACAGAGTACTTAGTTTCTGATGTTAATATTAATTTTTAATTTAGAACCCACTGTATTTTATAGCTTTAGTTTTTATTTCTATTGTTGACTATGTCTATTCCTTGTAAAAGGTCAATGACAATAAAGATCTTGATTCTTGATTCTTGGCAGACTCGTATTGGTCAAGTTGTCGTTGTCTGCTGATGACGCCATCGGCACTTTGTTAATTCTCTAGCTTGAATCCAAAATGTCCACTTCCTGTATAGAACCAACCTCAACCTTGTGAAATTCCATAATTTGATTTAGTCCAACCTTATTCGTAATGCTATTTGTCATAAGAATGTTAATTTTCTTCTCAAAGTTTAGTCTTTACTTTTCATCTTGTTTAGCTCGTCAATCAGGGCCGGATTTCCCAATAGGCCCGGTAGGCCCGGCCCGGGCCTATGGGCGCAAGGTCCCAGAGGGCGCACGGCCGAGAGTAATTTTTTTTATACTTAGGCTATCTAAAAATAAAAATAAATAGTCATAGTTGATAAAAAAACTCCAAAGCATTGTGATTCTGAGGTTTATAAGAAGAAATAATTGTTAGGAAATTTAAACTATTTTTCAGAATTACGCATCAATTTCGTTACAAAATTGGTAACGAACATCGGTTATACGGGAGTAGGCTGTAGGGATGTTGACGTTGACGAGCGCCCAAGGGGTACGCATCGTATTGCCACTGCACTCTGCTCTGAGCTACTAAGGCACATGGATAAAACATGCTCCATAAATAACAAGAATTGTATTCAGCTAATCCAAAATGATGAAAAATCTACTGAAGGAGTAGGTTTAATCTATGGTATCACATACTGTATCGAGTTCATGTTTTTGGGCTTGGAATTGGAATCAATTGCCATGTTTTTTTCATTAATGCTCAGTGGGTTGAGTTGTTTTGTTTCAGTCCCACGGCCACAAACGTGAGCATTTATTAAAAGCATACAATTGCTAATAAGTGTTTAAGACGGCATTTTGTTAAGGCTAAACAAGTCAATTCTTAAAAAAATTCAATGATTCCAACGAGGAGTGGTTGATTGATTGATTGATTGATTCTGTAGGGGCGGACCTTGTCCTGTTGCACGTCAGCCACTGATGGGCTTTTTGCGCTCCCCACATGGTACTTCAGAGTCCGTCAAACCTCAGTTGCTTAATGAACTCCATCATCCTGTCAATGAGCTCCTCCTGAGGAAGGTGTCTGCCCCTTGTCATTGCACCAAGAGTACTGTCCCTTACCTCATTCAGAGCTGTGCAGTCATAGAGTAGGTGATCAGCAGTCTCCTCTGATTGCCCACATTTCCTACACGCAATGTCACCTTTGTGGATCCTCAAGCGATGCAGGTGTAATTTCAGGAAGCCATGTCCAGTGACCATTCCTGTGATCTGTCTGAGTCGCCTCCTGTCTAAACGTAGAGCACTGGAGGCGACCGTCTGGGAAGGGGAGAAGAGGGTGAGCTTACTTACCCTATGGTGCTGAAGCCTAACCCATCTTTTCCTGTGTTCCTCCTGAGCCCATGCCATGACTGAGTGACATGCATGCCCACGAGATATTCCACAGAAAGGCTGTGGTCCCACGAAGTCTGAGGCTGACGCGACATTTGCTAGCCTGTCAGCCACCTCATTCCCTTCTATCCCTGAGTGCCCAGGAACCAAACAGAGCGTTACCTTGTTGCGCCTGCCCAGGTCACATACCGCAGAAAGGCAGTCCCAGACCACCTTAGAATTTAATTCATAGGAGTCAAGCGCTTTGAGCGCAGCCTGGCTGTCTGTAAAAATGGAAATGTTGATGTCCCTGAAGCCTAGCCTCAGGTTTTCCCTAGCACATACCATAATCGCAGTCATTTCGGCCTGGAACACAGTTGGGTGAGTGCTCATAGGAAGACAAATGTCTACCCCATTCTGCACTCCATGAATTCCAGCCCCAGTCCCACTTCTTACCTTTGAACCATCAGTATACCATTCAAGGTTGCCTTGTGGAAGAGGATTCCCACCGGACATCCACTCATCCCTGGACGGAAGGAGGACAGTGAATGGTCTGGCGAAGAAGAATCGAGTCGGCATGTGATCCGAGGGCATGTCCATTACCTCCCCTCTTACCTGCTGAGTGATCCGAGAGTGACCTCGGGATCCTCCAACATCCAACCAAAGGTTTTCACACTGGAGTCTGTAGGCAGTCCTCCTCGCAGTGACCTTGACATGCAGGTCAATCGGAGTGAGGTTGAGAAGGCAGTCCAGTGAGGCTCCCGGACAGCTGCTCATTGCGCCCGTGATGATGACACAGGCGAGTCTTTGGACGGCAGCCAGATCTCTCACCGCATGAGGCCATCTTGGGCCACCACACGAGTGAGCCGTATGTCATGGCGGGCCTTACCACGGAGACAAATAGCCAGTGCATTAGCACCGGCTTGAGCCCCCAGGTTCCTCCCACCATCCGTCTGCAAGCCATGAGTGACCACTTACCTCAATCAATGACCTTTTGGAGTTGTGGGCCCCATTGCAGCTTTCGGTCCAATACCACCCCCAGGTACTTTACCTGATTCTGCATTTCAAGCACTGTGTCTTGTAGTCTCAGAGGTCCTATGCCATTTAGATTGCGCCTCCTCGTGAAGGGGATAACCGCCACTTTGGAGGGGTTGATAGAAAGGCCTACCTCTGTGCACCATTGTCCAACTGACCTCAAGGCTGTGTTCATGAGGTCGGAGACCGTGTTGTTGAATTTACCCATAACCAGTATCACAATGTCAACCGCGTATCCTTGAACGAATACACCACTATCACTGAGAGATCTAATAATTAAGTCATCTACAACAAGGTTCCAGAGAAGAGGAGAGAGTACACCCCCCTGTGAACACCCTCATGTGGTCCTTGCCTCCTGAACCTCATTGTGAAGAGAGAGTCTTACCTTCCTCCTCCTAAGTAGAGACTCTACCCACCTGCACACCATCTCATGGAATCCACGAGCTCTGGCAGCATTGATGACAGCCTGGGTTTCAGTGTTGTCAAAGGCGCCCTGGATGCCAAGGAATGCCCCGAGGGCAATCTCCTTGAACTCAAACGCCTTGTCGATTCTGCTTACCAGGTGATGTAGGGCAGAGTCACAGGATCTTCCTGGGGTATAGGCGTGCTGATTTCTATGTAGGGGATTGACTCTGAGGACTTTGTCCCCCACATACCTAAGCACCAGTTTCTCTAGGGTCTTCAACAGGAATGAGGACAGAGAGATGGGACGGAAGGACTTGGGATCCGTGTAACTTGCCTTACCAGGTTTTGGGATGATAACCACCCTTGAGATGCTCCAGGCCGGGGGAATGTGTCCCAGGGCCAAGCTGGTCCTGAACAACTTGCTCATTCCTGGAAGTAATATATCAATACCTTGCTGGAGACAGACAGGTCTTACCTCATCAGGTCCAGGTGATTTGTATGGGATGAGTGACCTTATGGCCCATCTCACACGACTGTGTGTCACAATGTGGCACGCAACCCTCCACCGAGTGTTGTTTGCCCTTGCGTCAGTTTGTACCTCATCCTCCGGCACCAATGGCTCGCTTGGGATGATGCAACCAGGGAAGTGGGTGGCCGCCATAAGCTTTAGCACTTCCTTAGGTTCATACAGCATATCTCCCCCAGGCTCCTTGAGGGGGCCTAGCTTGGAGGAGTTTTCCTTTGTTAGGACAGTGTATATCCTAGATGTATCTCTAACACTTTCTACCTTGCTAGTGTTAGAGGAGTGGTATTCAAGCAATTAACTTAGGCCTATAGGCATGATATAGTTTTTAATAAAGGTTTGAAGGAAAGTAACGGTGACCAGACTAGGGGGCGAAAAATTATTTGGGCCTAGGGGCGCAAAAACTCTAAATCCGGCCCTGTCGTCAATCAAGTTAGTCATCGGAGGTTCGTCATTTACAATATGGTCCTTGAGCCTTCCAGTGCAGGGATTGCAGAACCACTTCACATACTCCTCCATCTTCCTAATTTCATAAAAAGTCCTCGCAGATATATTTATGCATTTAGCGGGATGCCACAAAACGTAATAACCATCTCAAAGATGAGTTTTTCCTTGTCTAAACACAATTATTTTAAACACACCGGGCACTTGCTCACAACTTTACCTTTTGCCATTACCACAGCCTTCTATAATGGTGAGTGAATATATACAAATCCAGAATCTTGTTTAAAGAGAAGGAATAAAGCAGGCGTGAGCGATCAATAATATGACCAAAAGGGAGCCTGAGCCCGCCTTATAAGACTCTAAGTTAATCAAATTAAAAAAAAAATTAAAAAAAAAAATATGCAAACAATCAACAATGCCATACATTTACAAACAACAACGCAAATTTAGTTACAAAAATTTGGTAAATCAACCATTTTTTATATTTTCTGGGGAGGACCCCTGAACGCCCCTTATGGAACAGGTAGATGGATGCCCATGAAGCAGAGTGTATACGAATGAAAAAAGATCATTCAGATGGAAGATGGATTCAGTTTGTTCACTCCCAAGCCGCATGGCTTTCATTTAGTAATTGATAATAAACCAACTATTAAAGTGCTCAATATGCAAGATCACTTGAGCAACCATATATTAAGAATAAGAATGAGAATAAGAAATATTTATTTCCATTGATCTTTATAAAAGAAATAGGACACGTCATTGTTATACATAGTTACAAGGTGATTCAGTGTTTACAGTACAAAATATCTAAATTTAAATAGCCACTTAATATTTAGCTTTATTTCAACTTACTCTTCAAAATCTAATATTTATTTCACAACTTAAAAAAATCATCAATTTTGTAAAAGGGATTTTTAACAATCCAGTCATACAGTTTATTTTTAAAAATATTGTAAGAAACTAATTTTGCTTCTTCAGGCAGCTTATTAAAAAACATTATACAATTTAATTTATGTGAATGTTTGGTTTTTGCCAATCTGTGCTGCAATATATCTATTTTATCCCTACCTCTTGTATAGTGATTGTGTACGTCTTTTCGGAAAGAGAATTGATCTAAGTTTGACTTTGTATATATTAGAATTTGGAATATATAAAGATTTACTATGGTTGGTATCCTGAAATTAATGAAAAGAGGTTTACAATGTGTATCTGAGCATTCTCCAGCAATGCTTCGAACCGCCTTTTTCTGGAGTAAAAGGATGTCATTAATATGTGGAGAGTGGCCCCACAAAATAAGACCATATAGTATGTGCGATTGAAAGAGTCCAAAATACGCCAATCTTAAATATTCTTGGCTAACAAAATCCTTAAGTTTCCACAGCAAGCACCTCACTCTTGAAATTTTGTTACAAACAGATTTTATGTGTGATGACCAATTTAATTTTGAATCCAAATTAAATCCTAAAAGTTTAACTGATTCAAATTTTACCTCTGTTTTAAGACTGATTGTTATATATTGTGATTTGTCAGAATTACAAGATAGTCTGTTTGCAGAAAACCAATCATATGCTCTATGTTCAGCCTCTTGACTAATTAAGCGTAGGGTTGTTAAATTAGAATGGTTAGCGAGTAAAGTTGTATCATCCGCATATATAACAGATTGTGTATTTATATTTATAGGAAGATCATTAATGTAGACGTTAAAGAAAAATGGCCCTAGTACAGAGCCCTGAGGAACACCGGTTTCAACTTTTTCAGTTTTAGAACATTTATTTTTAATTGATACCAATTGAAGTCTATTACATAAATACGAAGAAATTAGAAGCATGGCATCATTAGTGATGCCATAAAAACGTAGTTTGTTAGTTAGGATATCAAAAGGAACCGTACTATTACACTATTACACTATTGTTTGGATTATGAATAACTCTAAGTTTCCCATTTTTTAGCAACCAGACCAAAGTGACATACAAGTGCCACCAAAAGAAAAGAAGTTCAAAGGATATTTTAAGATAGCACGGCACTATGGATGGGCTCTAAATCAAGTATTTAACTTCTTCAACTTTAACAATACAATTATTATTGAAGGTAAGTTACTGTTTTTTTCTTTCATTTTGAAACTAATTGCTACCGTAACTACTCAAGATAAAGTGAAATTAAAACTTTACATTTTTACCTTCTCCCCCTATTCATAGTAACCTATATGGAGAAAGTATATTTTTTGTCAAAGTTTTCGAGTTTGAGTGGATATATCCATTTTGGGTCCGCCTTAACCCAAAAAAGTGGTTTTCGAAGTGATGTCTCTGTGTGTGTGTGTGTGTGTGTGTGTGTGAGTGTGTGTCTGTATTCACCGAATAGTGGCATCCTTCACAGGCACGTGGCCGTACTGTGGCACCTTAAAAAATTGTGGCACCTTTTTCAGGGTGCCACAGCTAATTCGATCATTTTTTGGGGTTTCCAGCATTAATACGTCGTTTAAACATCACATGCCACAATTGAGTATTTTTGAACTCGTTGATGTGAGTTTAAGTAGCGCAGGTACACGCCGAATTGTGGAAACCATACCGGTAGCTAGCGCGCCTCGCGCCGTCCGCTGGAACTATAACTTCTCTAATGCTATGTTGCCAATTCTCGCGCCAGCCTACACTCTAAATAGTGGCACCATGCCGCAATTCAGTATATATCAACAGTGTGTGGACAGGATGCCACTTAATGATTTGTAGCGCTTGAGCAGTGTGTAGAACAGTGCAACAAGCAACTAATAAACTAATAATACTGTACTGCCACGTACTATAAAACAATTTAAGTACCATAAATAATATACTTTTGCTCCGAGTGGTGAACAATGTTTTACATTACAAATATTTTGTGTAGTAAATAATTATTTAAATTGATTTTATGACACCATTAAAAAAATTATTTTTGTTTACAAACATAAATTGGTAACGTAGTTATTTTGTATCAATTGAATTTTTACATTGAAACAATAACAATGTTTTAGGTTAGACCACTATATAAGTTGTCCTTCTTTTAATTCTTCTGTCTTCTAATTTTTTATCTTACAAACTATTTAGTGCTGATACATCTATTTTATTAACATTCTAGTCATGTTGACAAAATATTTTACAATTAAATTTCTGAATCACTCAGTAAAGGTAGATTTCGATGCATCATTGCTGAAAGTTATGTTTTGCTTCTCACTCTCAGAGTATTCCAAAGACATCTAATGTTTCAATCCATATTCAAATGTTATATGAGGTAAACACATAACCGAATCAATTAAAGTACTTAAATTAAAATACATATTATTATCAACACGCATAAACTAGTTCAGATTATATATCATCTCACAATCATATTTGCATACTACTGTGGTGATTTAACCAGTCCCCACTAACAAAAGCATGAAATGAAAGGTCCTAAAGACGTTAACATTGAGTTAAAATACAAGAGTAGTTTAAAAGTTGTAACCATGATACCTACTGTAAATAATTTGATATTGTTTGATATTATACAATCGTTTTACAATTTTGTCAATCTATCTGTTACTTTAAATACAAATGTATTTTTATTATTCAATGTTTTGTTTTGTAGAACCTTTAGTATTCTCAACTTTATTAATAATAAACCTATTTTAACATACAATATCAATTTTAGGAAATTCCTAGTATGGTTGGAAATATATTGGCATCCGTGAAGTTTGAGTAATGTTTTTTTTAAAAACACAATATGTTATATTTAACTTCACTTATTATTTATTTAATATGTTTCTACTTCTTGAAATTCTCAGTTAACTGGGAGGCGGAGCAAACAGTTTGTTTTAGAACAAACTGTTTGCTCCGCCTCATTCATTTCAGAATTCCAACCATCATCATTTTAGAATGACCTTGAAAATTCTAAACAATCTTTTTTCTGTTGGTTTACTTAAAGTCTATAATGTTCTACTATGAATGCAAATCTATAATACAGTATAAATTTCCAGTCCCACCCTAAAAAAACTATGATATTTAACAGTAAAATTTTTATAACGTATCAACACATTATTTTTAATTGGTCACCAAACTGATTCTTGAATTTTTGAATTAGTAGTTGCAAGAGTACGCAAAACTGCAGAGAGTCCTTGAAAATGCTTGTGCAATGATATAGTTTTAAATTATAAAAGAAACCCTTCACAAAATTGTATTAACAGGACCAGAGGCTCAATATGCACATGGTATTTCATTTATAGGAGGCAAAAAAATTCAAATCATATTAATTTATGATTGCCAATAGATTTTGAGTTTCCTTAAAAACAATTATATAAAACTGTCTGCAAATTTAAATCCATGTGTGTAGCCCCTGAGCTGTTGGACATAATGTAAGACTAAATTACTTACGTAATTCCCGTCACAGCTCAATAAAATATGTCTATTCAGGACATGTTTCGGTGTTAAAACACCATCGTCAGCTTCAGGTACATAGTGTAGAGTTGATCAGTTGTTAACATCGTCAGAAGATAAACACAGTACGGACACGAATAAATACATAAAACAATTAAACATTTAAAAACAGGCCTGTTCTAACAAAGATGACCGACCGCACAGGTAGCAAAGGACAGACTAGACCAGCTTATGCTTATCAGTTGTGTGAGAGTGAAAGAGATATTGGGCAAGGATCAGCTGTTGTAGGATGGACGGAGTTATTGATGAGTGAATTAAAAATGGTGTGGGAACTGTACTGTAGTTTTTCGTTTAATATAGTCTCACGTGTGTTAACGTTGTTAAAACTTTTGTATATTTCATACTCCTCTAGAGTGTCCATCTTTTTCCCTTTTCTGCAAGTGTGTAGAATTTCCAAGCTGTCATCAATATTTCCTCAGTAGTGCAGCTTTAAAATCACTCAATCACTCTTGAGATTCCTTTATGTCCTTGCTGCTAAGCTCTCATCATCGCCCCTAATCAAGGAATGATGTGGAAGCAATCAAGGAATCGTAAAAAGGTCGTTGAGAAGGAGTGGGTCGTAATTTCGCGGTATCTATTTGATATCGAAAATCTATCGCTAGCGCTTTATCTTATTTATTGATTAAAGAATGTATTTAAGATATTATACGGTAATTTATTATGCAAGGGAGTCGAGGTATTAATCCAAGGAAGTAAGGTGTAAAAATCCAAGGATTAATGGTAGAACGGTTTACGGTAATCAAGGTAGTACAGGTATTAATCCAAGGAAGTAAGGTGTAAAAACCAAGGATTAATGGTAGAACGGTTTACGGTGATCAAGGTAATCAAGGTATTAATCCAAGGAACTATGGTGTAAAAGCCAAGGATTAATGGTAAAACGGTAAAGGTATTAATCCAAGGAACGATGGTGTAAAAGCCAAGGATTAATGGTAGAACGGTTTACGGTGATCAAGGTAATCAAGGTATTAATCCAAGGAACTATGGTGTAAAAGCCAAGGATTAATGGTAGAACGGTTTACGGTGATCAAGGTAATCAAGGTATTAATCCAAGGAACTATGGTGTAAATGCCAAGGATTAATGGTAAAACGGTAAAGGTATTAATCCAAGGAACGATGGTGTAAAAGCCAAGGATTAATGGTAAATCGGTAATATTATGTAGCAAGGAGGTAGTGGTATTAATCCAAGGAATTAAGGTGTAAAGCCAAGGATTAATGGTAAAACGGTAACGGTATTAATCCAAGGAATCAAGGTGTAAAATCCAAGGATTAATGGTAAATCGGTAATATTATGTAGCAAGGAGGTAGTGGTATTAATCCAAGGAATTAAGGTGTATTTAAAGCCAAGGATTAATGTTGAAACGGTAACGGTATTAATCCAAGGAATCAAGGTGTAAAGCCTAGGATTAATGGTAAAACGGGAACGGTATTAATCCAAGGAATCAAGGTGTAAAGCCAAGGATTAATGGTAAATCAGTAATGGTATTAATCCAAGGAATCAAGGTGTAAAATCCAAGGATTGATGGTAAAACACAAGGTTCAACTATTTAAACAAGGGAATCAATAATGGTACGATGGTCTGCTCATTAATAATAGCACGTCTATACTCTACCTACTCTAGGCTATCACAGCTCCCAGGATATATGGGAATGGTCTTGGGATGGTTAGATAGGTTTTAAGCAACGGAATAAAGCAGGTAGAATGAGGCTAGGTGCATACAAATGGAAATACAAGCATAGAATGTACAAGCAAGGTAGATCAAGTACGATGTATAATCACTATAAGCAAAGCAAATCTACAAATTAGCGTGGTAAATGATCTGCTAATTATAGATCAAGCAATTACAAAGCAATGACAATTTATACGTCAACTAAATGCAATAATACTATATATGTGCGATTCAAGCTCAAAATGCTACGGTATTATAATTTCCAAATGATTTACAAAAGATAATGCAAAGCAATCTACGTTAAGCTAAGTCAAGCAATTTTACATATATGGAATAAATGTCGGTACAAATACTAGAAACAGAATTGGAGACGTTCTCCTACCTTATTTGATGATCGACTTGTCGGGTTGATATCGTGTTCGGAAGTGAAGTCTTAGAGTCGTCTTGGACTCTCTGAGTAGCTAGACCGTCGTGCGCATGCGCGACAGGCCAGCGCGGGAAACTGGAGCATGCGCGAGGTGCGCGCGCACGTCAAGGAAGCGGGAAATTCAAATCGGTGGAACCTGAATATGCTTGTCTTGCTTGTCTATATTTTGTCTACCATGATATTTAATCCAAAAAAAATCGTACCATTATTTTAGCCTGTTACAATGTCAAAGTTAAAACTATTGTTGTTTTTAATGATGGTTAAATCTAAAAAATTCAGTTTGTTGCTATCTTCAATTTCAAGGGTGAATTTTAAGTTGGGTTTCAGACTATTTAAATAGTTAAGGAGTAAGTGTAGCTGCCTTGAATTGTCGTTGAATATTACAATAGTGTCATCAACATATCTTCTATAAAATAAAATCTTGCTACTATATTTATTTGTGCTTGACATGATGCATGTATTTTCTATGTGATGTAGATAAATGTCGGATAAAATTCCTGATAAGGGAGAACCCATGGCCAATCCGTCAGTTTGGTGATACATTTTACCATCGAAT